ACTAGGAACAGGAATAGAAGTTTCGATAGGTCCAGCGTTAAATTGGACAAGAATAAAATTATTTAATGAACTTTTACGCAATATGTTTTGGTAAAATTATAGTTATAAAAGAAATAAGAAGTTATAAGAAAAATAAGAGATTATTACAGCAATAATTATGATTCATTCTGTATAAAACATTGGATAGAATTCTAACTTAAATGAAGTGATCGACAGAGAAGAAATATTTATGGCAATTAGAAAAATATTAGAATGTCAGTTCCGGGATAATTTTGCAACACTGCAAACTACCCTTCACCCAATCGATCTATCATATCTCGTCGAATGTAGCAACACGATCGATCAGACTTTTATGTGCTATGTATATGCTTGGAGCATCGTGAACTTTCAATTTCTACTATTTGTGCTCCTTTCCACTTGTTCAAGAGCCCCGGAGAAAGTCCACGTGAAACCGTCCTCCGAGAACGGACACGGTTCCTCGAAAAAGATCATCCGAAATAAACTTTCTATCAAAAGTAACACACTATCTAAGATCTGCAGGAACTGGATCACAGAAACAGAGACTTAAAAACATATAAATGTGTGGACAATATCCAAATGGCTTTGCTAATTTATATCATAAAACCTGTACTCAATTAAGAGTACAAAACTATTAGAGACTTAGAAACGAGATTTGTAAATGTGAAGACAATATCTAAATGGCTTTACTAATTTCTATCATAAAACCTGTACCTCAATTAAGAGTACAAAACTATTAGGGACTTAGAAACGAGATTTGTAAATGTGAAGACAATATCCAAATGACTTTACTAATTTCTATCATAAAACCTGTACCTCAATTAAGAGTACAAAACTAATAGAGACTTGGAAACGTATAAATGTGAGGCCAATATCTAAATGGCTTTACTACTCTATCACTATTACGGTCCGAATTCCGATTTTTATGAGTATATTTCTATGTGTGTTATATAATATAATACATAATATTCATAAAAAGCAAATAGATATTAAAAAATACCAGAAATATATCGGACAAGCATAGTTACGTCAATGGCGGACCAGTCGCGACGTCGATTAATATTTTTGTAAATAGCCGAGGTACCAATGCA